TGTTCCTAGAAATCTCCCAGCCATCAGCGCAGCTGGCCCTCACCCTAAATGTAGATCGAAGTAAAAGGTCCACTAGAACGGCTTGTCTCATTAGCAAAAACAGTGTGAGTCAGAACTGGCCACCTGGGCCACCGTCCACCCCTCCCCCTCCCTGAGAACCTGACCCTAGAAAACCAGTTAATGTCACAGTTGGGGTCCCGGGTCCCTCTGTGGCCCCGAGTGCAGTCAGCTCAGAGAAGGCATCCATATCTGAGACCGGAGTCTGGGTGGTTTGTGCAGCTCTTCTTAGGCTGTCATCAATCATGCGCATCAAGTCACCAAAGAGGCTGCTCTTGGGGGACCCAAACCGCCCTGGAACTGTCTCCTGTCCCCGAGCCCCCACTCTGCTTTAAAGAAGATGTTCCTGGAGTACCATCCAGGAGAGATCAGGTCAGATCTCTCAGATGGCTCAGGAGAGTGGTGGCAGGTGGTAGGTCTTGCCATCTTGCCAGATGGAGGAATTCATGCCAAGAGTACCGGGCCAGAACTGGCTAATTGCTTTGCATTGCTCCACACACTTGTCACCCGAGATCTCAGAACTCCCCTCCCCTCATGTCCGGCTACCTGGACACAGAAATGCACAGAGCATTTCAGGCCGATGCTTGACCTGTGCCCAGGTAAATGCAAAGAAGGACGTCTCCCCACGACAATGGAGTACTCTACCGGTACTGTCCCGGTGAATTTTGGCAATTGGACTTTACTGAAACCAATCCAGGACTATATGGCTACAAATATCTGCTGGTCTTGACACCATCACTGGCTGGGCTTTTCCATCAAGAACAGAAATGGCCCCGGTGGTAGCTAATTAATAATATATTTAATAAAAGATATTATTTTCAGATTTGGCCTCTGGGGTCTGAGCATGGCTCAGCCTCACAGCCGAATATCTCAGTCGCTCTCAAAGGCTCTTACCGTAAACTGAAAACTTCGTTGTCTGTATCATTCTCAGAGCTCAGGAAAACGTAGAGAGGGTGAATGGAACTGTAGAGGAGATTTTAACTAAATTCCTCTTGAGCTGCTGGTTGCCAGCTGGGTTGGTCTCTGACCTCATGCCCTTCTCAAGGCCCGCTGTGCCCCCTCCCAAGAGAAGTGTCCTCCATGAAGCGTCTTCTCATGATCTTTCCCGCGTGTGCCCTGACTATATCAGATTGCTCCACTCCAGGCCCTGGCGCCTTAAAGGGACGGCAGTTGACTTTGGAGGAGATCTTTCCTCAGGTCCACCCTGCTTAGCCTGTTGGGCACTGACGCCTTGATCATCCACTCCAGCCTGCTGTGCTGTGAGGGCCCACGGCTCCGAAACCAAGCAGCTTGAGCCCGGATGGAAAGGCCCTTACATCAGGGTTCTCTGTTTGTCTGCTGCTGTGGAGGTTGCTGGCGTTCCTGCCTAGATTCAGCACTCACACCCCCAGAAAGCACCTGGGGAACCTGTGAAAGAGGGGCCCACCCCCCAGAGGTGGAAACTGACGGAAAGAAGACCATTAGAAATCAAACTTTCTAAGGTTCCACTGTCTAATGTATCTCTGAACGTTGTGCTCTTGCTGCTGGAATTTGCATCATGATTGTCCCACCGCTAACAGTTTTACTGACCTATTTTCAACCTATGCAAACAGAACCTGAATGCATCTTGATATGGAAATAAAAAGGCACCCTGTCATAGGAAACAGCCTGATACTGTCTTGCCATGCAAAAGATTGCTTTCATCCACCAGGGCCCATAGTTTGGACACAAGAAGGGGTTCCTAGCCAGATGGATGAACTGACCCAGCTGACCAGTCCCAGCGTAATAGTAGACTTCGGCATAACCGCATATCCTCTAAAAGGCTCTGTATGCTAAATGAGGAGGAGCCATTCACTGATCACTTCAGTTGAACATAACATACCCAGAGCAACTTGTCTGTAACTAATGGTATGGTTTATAACCATTGGCTCCACCCAGCCCTAAAAGCCAACTAGAAAATTTCTTCTGTATCAGAGGAGATGCCTCTATTCCTGGGCTCTTAAGAAGATGTGTATATGGAATAGGAGTTATGTAGGAAAATTATATAGGAATAACAGCGGTCAAGATGGAACTTGCGGGGGTTGGGGATTTAGCTCAGTGGTAGAGCGCTTGCCTAGCAAGCACAAGGCCCTGGGTTCGGTCGGTCCTCAGCTCTAGAAAAAAAAAAAAGACAAAATAACAAAAAGATGGAACTTGCCCTCACCAATATTTCTAGAGCTGTGTGGCCAATGTTCCTATTCATAATGACTTTTCCTCCACTATCTATGTTTTGATTGTGCTAATGGGCTCTCTTGTTATAATTCTGCTTCTCATCACTCCCGCCCCCGTAAGCGACTGCCCTTGGGATGGGCCATTTCTGTGGGAATACTTATTCTTCTCTCCTCTTGGGATCAAAGGTTTATGTGGGACAGGACATGTTATCCTTGTTTTACTTAGCAAATCTTTACAATCAGTTAACACACTCACAAGAGCTGTCCTCATCCCTCTGTACAGCGACGCTGTAGCTGTATTTTGATGCTAGTAACTGGCCTCACTGGTTACTGCCCTATCCTTGTTGTGTAAACCCACCTAAGACATTATTCCTGATTAGTTAACTAAAAGGCTTGCACCTGGGTATGGCAGAAGGTGGTAGGCACAGCTACCTCCTTCCCTGGCTTCAGGAAGAGGAGAATCACAGGAAACAGACAGGAAGAGAGGGAAGAGGAGGACACCATGATGGGTTATTGTAGAAAAAACCCACACGGGCTGGGATGAAGGGCTCTGAAAATGGCGTGGAAAGGAGCAATCCAGATGAAGGATAGGAAGGTGCTTATGAGATTAGGGATGGAAGGTGACAGATAAGGATGGTGAAGGCGGACAGCATTGGATGGGGCTGGGAGGCAGATGGGGAGGTTATTGAGACAGCGTAGGTGGAATATCTACCTGGCCCAAGGTAAATAAGGCAATCTAATAATATAATATAATAATATATAATATAATATATAATATATATAATAATATAATAAATATAATATAATAATGTAATGTAATAATATAATATTAATATAATTAATATAATAATAAATATAATATAATGATCTAATGGTGTCTGTGTCTTATTGATTTTAATAGGTTGAATGATACCACCGTAATAATTATAGGACTAATAATAAACATTGCATAGCCCGACACCATTAGTTTCCAACAGCATACCTATTAGATTCCCCTTCAGTGGCCACCGCAACTTTTCTTTTACCTGGAGTGAGAGTTTTGGAATCTTGGTGTCTTTAAAAACATAGAAATATTATAAGAATATGTTTTTGTTTTAATCCCAGGTGTGGAGATATGAGGCTGTTTTTCAGCAGCTGACTATGATTTGTCCCATGCTCTGGCAGAGGCGTGGTTTTGCCTCATAGTTTCTGAGACTGCATGATGTTTAGAATTCTGGGAACTTTTCAGAAGGTATATAAATGCTAGGCCCCTGAGGGACAGTATGGGTTGTTGGTTGTTGTTGGTCATGGTTTGTTAAGGAGTTGTGCACAAAGAAGAAATAAGAAGAGAAAGAGAAGAAAAAGGAGAAAAAGGGAGAAGGAGGAAGAGAAAGAGGAGGAGGAGAAATCAGATGTCCTGAGAGCAAAGATCAAACTTGCCCCAAGGAAAACATTGCATCCTTTCCAACCCCTGACTTTATTCAGAGATCTCTTTCCTTTTCTGTTCTTTTTCTCTCTTGCCTAGCGTTGGAGAGCTGAAAGGGAAGAAAGAAGAACCCACAAAGTTGCTAGGACCAGCTATAGTTACCTTCCCAGGGCTCAGTGTTGGGTCACAGAGAACTCTCTAGAGCAGCCTGTTCAGTTGCCAAAGCTGCTAACATTACAGCAAAAATATTAGCCAAAATTACTCCAGAAATAGGAGAACTGAGTACAGCAGTTCTACCAAACAGGACTACCAGAGACTACCTGTTGCTCAAATTATAATCTTGGTTGTCAGCAATTTACCGGTATGTGCTGTTTTGCTAAGCGCTGATTTCTCTCATACAACTGACAACCAAATTAATAATCTACATTTTAAAAAAAAAAGACAAAATCTCTCAGACAAACTGGCTAAGATGGTTCTTCCCCCTCAATTACCCTCCAATATTATCTCTGGTGGTTGTCCTAATCAGACCCTGTGCCCTCCAATATGTCTCCAACTTGATCACCTGTAAGCCGTGCCACAGCGTTAAAGACAGCGTCCTGTCAAGGATTTTACAGGAACATGTTGGCCGGGAGCGGAATGAGGAAAACTGCCTGACTCCATTTTAAAGACAGGAACCATTTTGTTATTAATAATAAGTTTCTGTTTGTTATAAGAGCCGAGTTTCTAAGTCTCTGCTTTCTGGAACCTGATCGCTCTCTTTGTAAGAACTGGCCTGCTCCATGACCATGACCACTGTGGCGGGTTGAGTAGAAACGGCCCCCAAGGCTCTGAGATGTGGCACTGTTAGGAGGGTGGCCTTGGTGGCCCTGTCACTGGGGGTGGGCTTCGAGGCTTCAGATGCTCAACCCGTGTGGCTCTCTTTATGTGACTCCTGCCGCTATAGATCCCCACACAGAACTCAGCTACCTCTCCGGAGCCTCGTCTGCCCGAGTGCCTCCATGCTTCCTCTATGACGATAATGGACTAAACCTCTGAGCTGTAAGCCAGCCCCAATCAAACGTTTTCTTTCATAAGGGTTGCTGGGGTCACAGTGTCTCTTCACAGCCATGGAATCCCCAGCTAAGCAACCTCGAGGATTGCTTTTGAGAGCCTTGACCCTCTCTATTCAGTGACCACAGAGGCTGACCGCTGAGATTTTTCTGTATGTTCCTCTGTGCACTGTCTCTGCTCTAACCCAACTTAGGAGGCAGTCACTGGCCAGCTCCCTGAGTGCACCCGAGGAGAACAAAGCTTGCTTCAGTTTGGCCTCATTCCCGTCTGCTGGGATTAACAACACACAGCATGCAATGGAAGGAAGCATACCTTTATTTCAGCTCCACCATCCCGGGCCCAAACACCAGGATGTGCCACCCGCTGTGTTGGGTACAAAGTTCAAAAAGTTCCTATAAACATGGATAACCCTACAAGGTTATGTCACAAGCCCCTGCCAAGGTGCAGCTCACCCCACTGCCCCAGAGGGGAGTGCCTGGGGTTCACCACAGATGAGCAGGTAGAGCAGGGCCGAGACTGAAACAGCAGCACACAGGAAAGGCACCAGGGAGCCCTGGGATGTGCCTTGGAATCCACGCTGCAGCTGGGGAAAGTCCCTGCTTTGGCTATGGGGGTCCCAGCAACAATGCCATCCAAAGGTGAGGACAGCCCCAAGTATGGGCTCCTGGGGCGGGCCAGCTGGCCGAGGTAGTGTAAGCACACCTGGAAATGTGGGGTACCCAGTGACTACGTCAGGTGCTTTCACGGGCTGGGAGTTGCCTGGTCTGGGGACAACAGAAAGGGAGGAAGGGAATATTAGAATCAAGGCTCTAAGATTGGCAGGTTGTAATCTGAGCCTGGGGTTGGGGTTGGGGGTTCCTCAGAAATAAAGGAAAGTGCAGAGGGAGGCAGGGAGAAACATGGGGAAGGGGTCTCTCAGACAGAGAAGAGGACAGAGGGAAATGGGGGAAGAGTGAGGGTAGAGGGGCCTGTCAACCTTTCTCCTCTTCCTCCCACGGCCTCTGTGGGTCTGGAGCCCACTCTCCCACACCCTCAAGTCCAGGCTTCTGAGACCACCAGCAGCTGGCCTGGATGCCGAGCGAAGGGATCAATGGGGCTGCTGAGCTTGCCACCTCCTCCTCTAGCCTCAGCTCACCCTTCTCTCCCACTGGGGTGCCATGCCCCAGCCTGCCCAGGCTAGTCCTCCACTACTCCAGGCCTCAGGCGGAAAGGGGAGGAAGGGAGAAGAGAGAGCAGGAGGGAAGCAGGGACAGGGTTTTTGAGAGCTAACCCCTTATCAAGTTGAAGGCCAGCAATTTGGAATCTTCCCTTCAACCTGGGACCCAAGTACAGAGAAAATTTTATGAAATATGTTTAACAGTGCAAATATATTCTTACATTGTGCAAGTGTTCACGTTAGATCTTTTTTTTTTTTTTTTGCTTTGTTTTCAGTTCTAACTCATCATTTGTGAACATAGTTAAAATTCTTAATTGTGCTAACTAGCCTATAGCAGCTCTACTTGGCTAACCAGGAGATGAGGGGCTGCATTTATATCTTAAAATGAAATTTCACCATTAGGAAGGGGAGGAAGCCATTAATCAGTACTGAAGGAAGAAGAGCAGCAGCAGCAGCGCCTTAGAAGTCGCTGTGATCTTACCACCCCGGGCAAACTACCTACGTCAAGGTCAGAAGAGACCTTGATGTTTGGGTTAGTGGGAAGTAGTGAGGACCGTGAGAACTGGAGGTGCTGCCTGGATCAAAGCAGCTGTGGCCAAGGGTGACACTAGCCCTACATGCTGCTCTTGATGTCAGGAAAAGAGGGATCTAAGACAGCCAGCCCTTTGTAGTTTCCAACCCGCGTCCACGGATTCTACTGTGAGCAGATTCCTGAAAAGCAGCTGTGTCTGGCTGTGACCGAGAAACTCTTAGAGGGAGTCTCTTTGTCTGCAGAGACCGGTGGACCGCCTGGACTCTCAGCCTGGAGCTCTGTAGGCTCCGAGGCTAATTACTGTGTCTTGGGCTCACTCTAGCCTCCTGGAACAACCATTTGTCGCCCCATTCTGTATCAGAACTAACACCTCGTGATAATCAACAAAAACCTCTTAGAAGCTGTTGACTCAGCAGAAAACTAGCTTCCACCAATCCAAGAGCTAAGACTCATAAAATAGCATCTTGAGCCCATAGACTAGGCTCCTCCATCTCGTTGTTCCCACCTCTCTGGTACCCCAATGTATGTTAAAGTTGCCTTGATTTATGACTTCCCTCTTTCTATTAAAAAAACACCATGAAACTGCTTCACGTTGAAACGTGGAATCTCGGGTAACAGAAATCTGTACCCGAGGCCACGGTCACTCAGAACGGCTCCAGAATAAAGCATCTCTTATCTCCTTTAAGACGAGAGCTGCAATCTTTGTGTCCACAGAGCGAGTCATGAATGTGTGCTGCGCGGTTAAGCCTAGGGAGCTGTCTGCAATGAACACGTACTGACGGTTTTTCTTGTCATTATTCTCTACCATGTACATTACAAATAGTCTAGAAATGACTTAAAGAACACAGGGTAAAGTGCAATGTAAAAAGTTCCTTCTGACGTAATGGACCTGAGACGAAGGACTTTAGCATCCACCAGCGTCCTTGAGTTGGTACCGTGCAGATACTTCGCTGTGACTGCATATGCTTACTTTTCAAGGAAAGTTAAGTTGTTTTTAGATTTATTTTATGTGTATGTGTGTTGCCTGCGTGCGTGGGCATTGTGTGCCTGCAGTGTCCACAGAGGCCAGAAGGGGGCGTCAGAGCCCCTATAATGGCATCACAGACTATTGCTGGCCTCGTTGTGGGTCTCGGGAATCAAACGTGGCTCCTTTGGAAGATCACTAAGTGCTCTTAACTGCACAGCCATCTCTCTAGCCCTCGCTTCTACGTTACACATATAACTATAATTACTTGTTTTGTCAGAGAGATTCTTAATGGCAGCCATGGCTGGCCTGGAACTCACTGTGTATTCCAGTCTGGCTTCAAACGAAGAGATCCATCTGCCTCTGCCTGTTCAGGGCTGGGCTTTGGTGTGTGTGTGTGTGTGTGTGTGTGTGTGTACGTTTACCACTTTTAAACTGATTTTCAAATATTAGCTCAAAACAAAAGCATCCCATGAGCCAAACCAAGCAAGTGTAACGTCTGGCCTCTGTCCTGGGCATTCTCGGATTACACAGTTGCTGTAGGCCTGAGGTGCTCTGAAGGGCTCTTCCGAAAGCAGACTTGATTCCGTGGGCGTGGACTGGGACTGAGGTTCGCTGTGTCTAACGCTGCTGCCAACGCCGCTGGCCTGGCAGCCACGCTGCTCACAGTGAGGGCTTCATTTCACCTCTTTCAGATCCGTCAGCGCCGTCTCCAGTTTGTACATCACCCGCGCTGGACACGCACCACCTCCCGGTGTCTGTGTCGGTGACAGATGACAGCCAGAGCCAAACACGCCAAAGCCCAGAATCTGGTGCCTCAGAAAACTGCAGCTGGGGATGAGCCGGGACTGGGTGTGGGCACTTGTTGCAAAGATCTCGGCAGAAATGATCTTCCTAGACGGTCGTTTCACCAACACCTAGCTAAGCAGAGAGTAAACCAGCCGTCTGCCACTCTGGTTAGCAAACCAGGGCGCGGCTGGCTTCCTGCCGCAGCGCACCAAAGCAAGCTTTTCTCTGCACTTAGGCAAGTGAGTCGGTTCTGCCCGCCGGAGTAGGAGCCAGCGTGTAATGGAAATGGGAATAGGATTGAGGCTAAAGGAAAGCCCTGGCCTTTCCAGGCTGCGCGGTGGCCCCTGCCCTGACAGAACACGAGCCTCCACTTCCCGGGGGGAAGGGCCTGAGGGCTTCCCCAGATCCTTACTTGGGGCCTCACAGGGCCTAGAGAGCGAATAGCCCTCCACCCCTGCCGCCTCCAATGCGCTCAGGGTTTTTGGAGCTGGGAGGCTCTATGTCACAGAGCCCCGAATCCCAGGGCTACTCATTCTAAAGCCTCGCTGAAAGGGCCACAGGGAGACGGAACGCGCGCAGCCCCCCTCATTCTACCACGGGGGGGGGGCGCAACACTTCAGATCTTTCCAAGGTCACGTCGCTGGTTTGCAGCAGACCCCCGGCTCAGAACGCTTGGACGCAGAGTTGGACAGAAGTCTCGGGCATTGGTCCCATACAGCAGCAACGGCAGGAAGGGCCTTGCAGAATCCTGAGGGAGCACAGCTGTCTGAGAGGAAGAAAAGCCTGTATAGGGAGCACCGTGGCTGAGAGATTCTCGAGAGACGGCCAATGAGAGCTCTGCATAAGTGCACAGCCCGAGGGGCCCCTCAGAGAAACCTGGCTTATGCTCAGGGCATAGAGTGGGCCAGGGGAAAATCTGGAGACAAAAATCCTAAACCTGGACTCTGGGAAGGCTCCAGATCTACCAAACCAGGGCTGGTGTTGGAGCTCCCTGTAAAGGAATCAGCCCGTGCCCCACCCCCACCCCAAATCAGAGAGGAACAGGGACAGATGAGCTGGTGCCTGACCCCTCCGCCCCGCCCCGCCCCGCCCCCATAGAGTGCTCCCGAGGAGCAGGGAGGGTGGAGCACCTGCGCCCAGCGGCTCTTCACTTCCCGGTGAACAGGCCCGGCCTGGCTTTCTCCAGCTTCCTGCGCCTCTCTAGCGGGATCTCCTGCAGGCTGATGCCATGGTTGCTCGCCCTGCAGGGAGGAGACTGCAGCCTCAGGGAAAAGGAAGCGGGTGACGGAGGCCAGGGTCGCCGCTGCTCGGCCTGGGGCCGGCGTGGGAGGCAGGAAGAAAGGGCGAGGGCACCAAGGGCCGCGGCTGGCGCCGCTGCGGCTCGGGCTCCCAGCGTTCAGGTCCGAGCGGAGCGCTCACCCGGGCAGCAGATCCGGCGGTTTGGGGATGGGCTTGTTGAAGCCGAGTCTGCCCACAAGCCAGTACGTGTCCTCAACGCCCTTGCCCTGAGGACGGAAGACGGGACTCAGGCCGGCCAGGGCGAGGGACGAAGGGGACGCGGGGACCCCGGCCCCCGAAGGGCCCAGGCAGGGCGTGGCCCGGGCTCACCTTCAGCTCCGTGGGGCCTCGACACTCCATCTGGAAGCCCTGGTCCAGGGCGCGGAGGATCCGAACGGTGCTCATGTTCACGTGGATGCGATACGCTGAGGCAGCGAGGGGACGCCGGGGTCTCGGGTGGCGCTCAGGTCCCCGGCCTGGGCTGTCCCCCTGCCGGCCCCCGCCCCCCCCCCGCCCTCCCTGTCGGTTACACTCACGCAGCCCGGTGGACTCCATCCGCGAGGCAGTGTTGACGGTGTCCCCGAACAGGCAGTACCGAGGCATCGTGAGGCCCACCACGCCGGCCACGCACGGGCCTGGGGAGACGCGCCAGGTCAGAGGGCGGGGCTCGGCGGGGAGGCTGCGCGAAGGGCCTCGGAGGACCAGCTCCCGGGTCCTCCCCCCGCTCCCGCCCTCCCCCGCCCCTCCCCCGGACGAGCCCTGCAGCCCCAGGCGGGCAGGCCTGAGCCGGGGCTACCTGAGTGCAGACCGATGCGGATGCGCACGGGGACCTCGGGCATGTGGCGCATGCGGAAGGTGCCCACGGCGCTGAGGATGTCGAGCGCCATGTTGGCGATCTCCGCAGCGTGGCGCTGCCCGTTCCTCTGCGGCAGCCCCGAGGCCACCATGTAGGCGTCTCCGATGGTCTCCACCTGGGGAGGGGCGCGCCCGCTCAGCTCTGAGCCCCCCGCCCCCACACTCAGACCGCGGCCACGCCCCGCAGGAAGCCGAGGCGGGAGGGTGGCGGCGAGTCCGAGTCCAGCCTCCCCACGCCGCGGGTTCTAAGCTACCCAGGCGCACACAGAAAGAAAACGGAGCGGAAGGGCGGGGGGCTTCGTCCCCCGCGCTGCACCTTGTAGACGTCGTGGGCGCCGATGATGGCGTCGAAGAGCGTATACAGGTCGTTGAGCAGGTCGACCACCTCGATGGGCTCGCTCATGGCCGAAATGGTGGTGAAGCCCACGATGTCACTGAAGTAGAGCGTCACCTCTTCAAAGTACTCAGGCTCCACAGAGGAGCCCATCTTCAGCGCCTCGGCCACAGATCTGGGAGCGGCGGGAGGGCAGGGGTCACCCGAGGCTGCCGCGTCCGGCCGCCCTCCCCGCAGCCCCGGCGCTCAGGCACTCACGGAGGCAGCATCTGGGTGAGCAGCCTGTCCGTCTTCTGCTTCTCCTGCTCAAGCTCCTCCGTGCGCTCTCGGATCAGGTCCTCCAGGTTGCTGGAGTACTGCTCCAGCATCCGCAGCATGGAGTCGATGATGTTCATCTTCCGCCCCTTGTTGATGCGCTTGAACTAGGACAGGAGAGAGCTAGTGAGAATAAGACTTGGGCTGCCACGGCCCTCTCCTGCACCCTCCATGGGGCTATGTAGCTGGGCCGTTCACCTTCTATTCAGGGACCACCCCGGACTCCCGGCCGCTGTGTTTTCAGATTCTGTTAAGTGGCCAATGAGAGTTCCCAGAGGGCCTTGCTCTGAGTTGGCACTGACCAGGCACTGACTCAGGCCAACGCTCTTTCTGCCCCGTAAACCAAGCACCTGTCTGGTTCTTGTTCAGTGTTATTTGATTCGGATTAAATATTTCTCCTACCTAGACTTCTCCCATCCCAAGGCCCCCACAAGTCCTCTTTTGCATTGTAAACCTTCCCTCCCAAATTCTCAGTCCTTAGGTTCATCCTTAGGAGAGAGTCTAGGAGGTCAAAGGTCATGCCAGCCTGCTTGCCTGGGAACAGGATGCTGACAAGAATCTGGGACCCCAGAGGCCAGCCCAGTCCTTGCCCAATCCCAGCCCCTGACCAGGTCAAAGGTGAGGTCCATGGAGGGCCGGAGTTCTGGCTGCTCTGCCCAGCACTGCGCCATCAGCTGGATGCACTCTTTGGGTGCCAGGTCCATTGACACCAAGGGCCGGCACAGGGGAGGGGGCGTCCTCACCCTGCGTATCACTTCTAGAGGCAAGAGGGAGCTGTAAGAGGTGGGTGTCCCCCAAACAAAGCCACCTCTACCCTAGCCTAAAGGGGGCACTGGGAGAGGCTCTCCAGCTTCCTGTGCAGCTGAGAATGACCCTGATGGACGACCCTGACCTGCTGGCCCTTCTGTTTCCGCCTCCGACACAAGTGCTGGGACCACAGGCTTATGCCGCCATGCCCGGATTACGGGGTGCTGGGAATTGAACTCCGGGCTTGGTGTCCACTAGGCAAGCACTCTACCAACTTTCCAGCTGAGAGTGTGTGTGTGTGTGTGTGTGTGTGTGTGTGTGTGTGTTTTTAATTAACACTTCCAGGTCTTAGGAGACAGCTCGGCCAGCAAGTGCCTGACACATAGGCCAAAGGGCCTGAGTTTGGAGCTCCAGCAGCCACGTTAAATGATGGTTTAAAAGCCAGACGTAGCGGCACACCCCTGTAAGCACCAGGAAGGCAGACACAGGAGGCTCCCTGGAGCTCGTCAGCAGACCTACACAGCTAATCGGTGAGTCTGGCTGCCGTGTGAGACTGTCCCAAAAAGTAAAAGAGCGGTTGAGGAAGACACCTCCATTTGCACAGGCGTACACGCACACACTGTCTGCACAGGTGGACGCAACACAACACCCAGCTAGGTAGATGGATAGACAGACTGACAGACAGACAGACAAGTGCTTTCGCTGGTAGGGGAGTGTGGTGTGGATGGGAGTGTAATGTGGACTCTCTAGGAGTAATCAGAGGCCCCTGAACTCTGAGTGTCAGAAAGAGGCGACACAAATTAATGTTTTCTGAACACAAGAAAAGTGAGGTTGGGGTGCGGCTCCTACACATGATGAGTGATATGGACTTGAATCCTGTGGGACTGTCCTCGGGCCTCTGATGGTCCCCTTCCCCTTCTCTGGGGGTCAGAGAGCAGCCTGTGTGTGGTGGGAGAGAGGGTGGGCCCAGGGTCAGGATGGGTGCTGTTAGGATCTGTGCCCCGAGACCGCCTCCTCACGCTTGGCTTTCCCACTGCTGTCTTCAGCTTTAGGAAAGCTAAGCCTCGCCGGCCGTGGGGCTTCCCTTTACCAGAACCAGGCGGGGCCTGGCGGCTTCAACTGCAGCATGCGCCTGGCCCCAAGCCGCCTTACCCTCGGGGGGCAGCTCCAGCATGGCGTAGGGGGTGCTGCGGCAGACCACCTCCTGCATGATGATGGCCAGGCTGAAGACGTCGCCAGCCAGAGTTCCCCGCCGCTCCAGGGCTGGGTCCCGGAGCAGCTCTGGGGCTGTCCACAGCTGATCTAGGAACGGAAAGAGTGGCATGGGTACAGAGAGAGGCTGTGACAGCCCCGGCCGCCAGACCTCAGCCTCAGTGATACTGATCAACCCCGCAGTCAGCTATCTCAGCGAAGAGACTGCTGGAGTGCCCAAGCCTGGCAGAGAAGACCCTGTGCTCAGGAAGGCGGTGCCTAGGGAGGACTCCGTCCGGGAGCGGCAGACCCTCCAGTCTGCAGCCGCAGGCCTTTCCCGGGCCTGATTAGTGTCGATCTAGGGTGGGAAGAGCGCGGGGAAGGGCCGGAGGGGAGGGCGCGGGCCGCTAAGCGGAGCCAAGGGGGTGGATGCTCCAGAGCCGGGAGGCAGCGAGCTCCTACCCTCCGCGCTGGGCGGCTCGGGTAACACCCTCTGCGCTTCCAGCAGCCTCCCGTGGCCGTGGTCTGTCACCTTGAGCACGAACCTCCCATCCACCACGCAGTTCCGTGACTTGAGCCTCCCGTGGGCCACGCCGCGGTGGTGCAGGTATCTCATTCCCTTGGATGGGGAGGGAGGAGAGGCCGCCTCAGCTCCGCGGCCCCGCCCCCGCCAGCACATCCCCGCCTCCTAAGACCCACAAAGCGCCCGCACACACACGCACACGCGCGCACACACATGCACACGCATGCACACACATACACACCTTGATGAGGTCCAGCAGGAGAGAAGACTTGAACATCCAGTCCAGCTTGATGTCTCTCTGGGCCAGGAGGTCGTGGAGGGAGCCCCGGGCGCAGTGCTCTGAGACCACAGCCAGGAGGCCCTCCCCGGGGGCGGCAGGGATGTCTGCTGAGCCCGCCAGGAAGAGCCCCAGGTAGAGAGCCACGTTCTCGTGCCGGAGCTCCCGCAGCTGGAAGAGAGAAAGCGACAGGGACAGGCATTTCCTGTCCCGGGGCACCCAGGGCTGCCCCAACCCCCCTTTAGCGCCTGGTTGGGGGCAGCAAGACTGGAAATATGAGATTGGAAATGGTGAGCGAAATGGGGTTGGGGCCTTTCTTCTGTGCATAGTTCTGGCTTTGAACAGCTCAGTGTGGTGAAAGGGCCTTGTTCAGAACATGAATGTGAAAAGACACCCGTATTCGGGGGATTAGGGCCCGTTGGGGTTCCGCTTTGTGAGTCTGAAGGCTCCATTAACTACAAAGTGGAGTGGAGCCCCAGGGGAAAGAAGCCTGCCACCTGCTGCTCCTCCTGCAGCGGCCGGTGATGAAGCGCCTGACCCACAGTGGCCGTGGCTTTCCCTGGGGCCAGGGGAGGGGCTGCGTTTCCTTTCAGACACCTGGTGTCGAATGGCAACTTGGCCCACGCCCACGAAGGCAACCGCTTAAGTCAGCCATAGCTGTGGTCGAAGGCTCCCGGCGGCCTCCCGGAAAGAGGCCAAACCAAGGATGCTTGGTGCTGAGGGAGGAGGGACGGTCAAGGTGCACGCACGGGGTGAGCTGTCTGCAGCCTCCTCGCCAGCTCCCCACTTCGTCCACTGTGTGAGTACGGCTGGGGCCGTTCCTTCCCTGAGAGAACTGGAAACTCTCTTAGAGTTTTTTCTTCTTTAAAATATGCTTATTTGTTTATGTGTGTGTGCGTGCCTGCATCTCTGTATGTGTGTGGCATGTATGTGCCATGGCATCGTGTGGAGGTCGGAGGGAAACTTGCAGGAGCCGGCTGCCTCCTTCCACTCGTGTGGGCTCTGAGGAACAAGGTCAGGCTCGGTGGCAGGTGCCTCTGTCCACCGAGCCATCCCGATGGGCCTCAACACAAATCTACTGGCCTCCTATACTGCAGGCCGCGTGCTGGGTGCTGGGAACACAGAGGCACCCTCACCCAACTCTGAGTCTGTGATGGGGCAGATCAGACAAGCCGGATCGTGTGAGCATACAACTTATGGGATGAGCTAACACGTCACTTATCACATATTAGTTGTGATAAGAACACCAAAGGGGAAAAAGCTAGTATCACGAGAGAGGATGCTGGGAAGTCCTCTCGAGAGAGAGAGGAAAGAAGCCCTGAGAACGAACCCCGCTGCCCACTGCAAACAAAGCCCGGAGTGGGCTCGCCAATAGCCATACAACACCCTGCCAGGGTCCAGTTCTCACCTTGGAGAAGGCTGTCTTGGTTGCGGGCCTGATGGCCGTATAGTGATCCCCTGGGAATTTCTTCAGCCAAACCCAGTCCCCCTGTAGCAGAAGGTTGAGAAAGTCAGTCCTTGAAGCCCCAGGATTCCCGGAGCTTGAGGACCCTCCCATTTCCAGTGGCCCAGTGGCCCAGAACCATCCGTCCAGGCAGAGACCATGAGATGCAAGCAGCTCAGTGTACGACCTGTGTTTCCAGGGGCCTGGGTCAGAGCTCAGGGGAGGAAGATGCAGCTCCTCACCACCCCGATATTCCCGCCAACAGTCACACAAGCTGCTGCATGCACAGCCCTCATCGCTGTCCCTTGTCAGGAGAGAGCTAAGAGTCATCAGGGATTATGGTGAGCTGTCTCTGAAGGGAGGGATCATCCTTGTGGGTCCTGGCCTCACTGACCCCGGAGAGCGGCAGGGTCAGGCCATGGGATGTCACAGTTCAGTGATGGCTGCCATCATCTGGGTGAACAAGAGCCCTTTGCTCTTGTTTTGCCCTGGGCCTTGCAAATCAGATTGGTGGTCCTGACTGTTGCTAAGAGACGGGAACTAGAAGAGAGTCGTGGAGACTTGTTCTCAACTCTTAACAGGCTTTGGAAAGTAAAAAAGGTGTTCTTTAATGGTCACTGAAAACTGGGGGCTGCATTTAGTGGACAGGGCCAGAGAGAACGACTTGGCCCGGGCGGAGCGTCCCACGAAACAAAGAACAGCATGTTAAGGCAGCAACAGTCTGCCCCTGAGAACCTGTCACATGGTCTCGGGTGACATGCTCAGAACTTCCGTGTTTCCTCCAAGACCCTGAGCATGGGCGCTGCCCTCAGTGCCCCTCACCCCTCTGCCACGGTCACGTGTGCTGGCCCGGCCGCTAGACACTGTTTCAGAGGCCGGGCTTGGGTTCAGTCTGCTCAGAACTGGATGAGGGAACTGTCCTCACTGGCCACACCGGCTGCCCTGTGGGATGGGCCCAGCATGCTCCGAACACCTCCAACCTCCAGCTTTGGGGTTTGGGAAACCTCACTGGATCTTGTGGCAGAAAGCATGTCCAGATTGGACATGACCTTCCCCTAGACCCTGCCCAGCTTCGGCTCTCTGCCTGGAGCGCACACTTTGACCTTTCTCCTCTTCCCTCCCGGGGCAGGTCACCCTAACCGGGATTAGCTCACCTCGTAGAGGCCAATGCTGGCGCTCTCTGGGGGCTGGCTCGGGACACTGCGGATGTCTGAGGTGCTCCGGGCAGCCAGGCTGGATCTACTTCCCTGGGCCACCTGAGGACAGATGCAGACGCAAAGGGTCAGCATATGTCCTGAGGCCAGAGTCCTGGGCCGAGGCTGATTTCTGAGGGTGAAAGAGAGGAAGACAAGGGATCCGCAGCGCAGCTGGAAATGGTGCCACATTTTACAGTCCACACAACGAACATCCTTTTGATGTTTGGAGACAGGGTTTCACTGTGGAGCTTTGGCTGGCCTGGACTTGCTTTGTAGACCAGGCTGGCCTGGAACTCAGAGATCTGCCTGCCTCTGCCTCCCCAGTGCTGGCATCGAAGGCGTGCGCCACCATCGCCCAGCTCAGACATTCATTTTTCTAATTGGACCTTCACAGCAGCCTAAGGCAGGGCTGCCACCCCTATTGCGGAGAGGAGGTCCCTGATTCCCAGGACAAAGCTGGGGGAGAAGCTGAGTTTCTTACATGGGAGATGGGGTGGGGGAGGGGCAGGCAGCTGGCTCAGGGAAGGGACCAAATACCCCGGGAGAACACACGTGGTTCCTAGCTCCCTGCTCTCTGACCTTTCGAGAGCTGCCCGCCTGTGGATAGAGGAAGGTGACATCTTCCAGGGTCAGGATGATCTTGTTGGGGCCGGAGGCCATTTGCATCTGTAGCAGCTTGTGCCTGGCAGGAGGAAGAGGCCAGCAGGGGAGCGGGCAGGGGAAAGGCATTAGCTCAGGCAAGTGTACTGGAACAGAGCTATTCCCCTCAAACCTGCCTGCCCCTCTCCAAGATGGCCTTCCGCTCACCTGCTGCCCTTGTGGCATAATTTTACTTCCCTACTCACCTCAGATAATGAGCCAGAAAGGCCCCCAACAGTCCTATCCCTATCACCAGGAGAAAGCCAACGAAGACCAGGCCTGGCTCCACCCCTGAAGGAACAAGGAGGGGGAGCCTCTTGGTCCTGGCAGGGAAAGGGCCCCTTTGAGGAAGGGAGGTGTTCAGTCAGCCATGCCAAATCTAAGAGCTGGGCTGGGCGAGAAGTCAGGCGCACCCTCTCTCTCTCTCTCTCTCTCTCTCTCACGATGCCCACGCTGGCTGACCCAGAGGGAGCCTGCCGGTGCGCCTCCGATGCTTTCCTCACCTCCGCTGCAGATCACATCCGGCTCGAACCAGCAGGAAGGGTCTGGTCCCGGCGCTGGTCCTCCTCTAGGGAAGTGCACGGGGGTGCCAGCAGGGCGCATGGAGCCTCCGGTGGGATACAGCAGGTGTGTGGCCCACAGCCGGTCCCCCGAGGCGTCTGTGTCCAGCAGCGCAAAGGAGGGCTCCTCGCTCCCTCCCAGGACCCCGCAAAAGCCGGAGACCTGGGCCTCCCGCATGTGGCGGGCCACAGATGCGCCGGACACCCAGCCGCCCCCCGCCGCCGCTCTTGCTCTCGTCACGCCCCCAGCCAACAGGAAGACGGCGTCGTAGATGGTGCCAAACAGCGGAGAGACCTGGAGGAGGGCGGGGGCCGGCCCAGGACTTAGAGCCCCTCAGGGGCGAGAACTGGCCGGCCTGCGCCGTCGCTGTGCCGGGCTCGCCCACCGAGTCCCCCATCCCACCCACTTCTGATGTATTCCCCTTCTTGCTGCTTTTCCACCGCGAATACCCTCTCGGAGAAGGCCCGCGGTGCTGCGGGGTGAGGGCTCAGCATGGCCTTCCACCCCACTGGCCACCTGAGCCTTCTCTCGGGGGTGGCTAGTTGTTGGGAGACTGAACCCAAGGCCTGGCCCAAGCCTGGCAAGTACCCTACCACTGTGCCGGATAACCAGCCCTTGTTTTTGAGACAGGCCCCTGTTTACCAGACTTGTTTACCCCGTAGCTCAGGAAGGCCCTCAACTTTGCCTGCCTCCGTCTTCTGAGTTTGGGGGATTGCACTAGGCCTGGCGCAGGGCGGCCTTCCTGGTTGCCAAGTTTCTTCCTACTGACATGGAGCCTCCCCTTTGCCTCAGAAGCTTCTAGACTGCCTTTGTGCCTGGGACGGGATTAGACGGCCTGAATCTGGACCCTGGAGACCCAAGGGATGCTGACTGCTTGGATGGTGGAGATTATCTTTGGAGCGGACTATGGGAGCCCCACCTCCCGTCGAGGCCCTCACAAAGCACACAGCGTGACCCAGAACAAGGCTGAGGCCTCAGGAAATGCCTCCGGGCTGGGCGTGAAGGTGGCGCCTGTGTCCTCCCTCCCTCCCAGGTCACCGCGTCTCGGACGGAACGCTCTTGAGGTGCTGGCGTTAGGTAGGTCTGCTTTGAACACTAAAAGTGACGTGGCGGCTTAGGAGCTGGGTTTCACAGGTCCCGTTGCCTGCTCTCAGGGGGTGAACTTGATAATGAAGGTGCCCTAAGCAAAAGCAGATTCTACAGCACCCGAGAAGCTCCGACCGGCTGCGGCTACCGCTCACCCGCCATTGGCTCCACCCTCCCCTTCCCTTGGCTCCACCCCTCGTTCCCATCGGCCCCACCCCTCACCTTCCCATTGGCTCCACCCTCCCCGTCCCATCGGCCCCCCCCCTCACTCCCCTTGGCTCCACCCTCCCCGTCCCATCGGCCCCACCCCTCACTCCCGTTGGCTCCACCCTCCCCGTCCCATCGGCCCCACCCCTCACTCCCATCGGCCCCACCCCTCTTCCCTTGTTCCCCTCCTCCTCGCGCCGTCCTCCGCCCTCTTCCCCGTCGCTCAGTCCGTCTACCTGCTGCAGGTCGAGGTCGGGGGGCAGCTCCCGGTGCTCCTGGGCCCTGCGCAGGCTGTCCTGCACGCTGCCCCCGGGAGGACAGTGGCGCGTGAGCGTGAGCACCGCGTCGTGCGCCCGGCGAAGCTGGGAGCTGTTGGCGATGGCGGCCAGAGCCTCCGGGCCCGGGGCCACGGCGTAGTGGAGCGTGTCGAAGGGCAGGAAGACCAGCGAGCCGTCGGTCAGGCCCAGCTCCTCCGCGGCCTCCAGCAGGCGGCGCTGCTCCTCGCCGCCCAGCAGCACCGAGTGCATGACCATGATCACGGCTGCGGACACAGAGGCCGTGGCCGCGCCCGCCGCCCCGCGCCCCCGCCCCCGCGCCCCGCGCCCCCGGGAGCCTACCTCTCACCGCCGGCCCGGCCCGGATCTTGGCGAGGGCCGCCCGGGCCCCGGCGCCGTCGGAGGCCTCCATGGAGGTCACCGAGGCCACCGGCAGGCCCCGGGCCCGGAGCGCCGCCGACAGGGCGCGCCCCGCCTCCACCCACAGGTCCTGCGGCGCGGTGACCAGGGCCACGCGCGCCCAGCGGAACGTCCTGAGGAGGACGTAGAGCGCCTCTGCCGCGGGGGTCAGGGCCGGGGCCGTGGTCCCCGCGGCCCGCGCGCCCGGGCAGCCCCAGGGCACCAGCGCCACCCCCGCCTCCTGCGCCAGCAGCTCGGCCGGCCGGCAGGCCGCGGGGTTCGCGGGACCCACCAGGCCGGAGACTCGAGCCAGCGCGGAGGACACGGCCCCCAGCGAGCCCGGGCTCCGGCAGGGCTCCGGGAGCAGCGCCACCTCGAACCGGGGGCCGCCGCCCAGGGCGAGGTCGCGGTTCAGGCGGTCGGCGGCCAGGCGCGCGGCCAGGTCGGGGCGCGCGCGCGCGAAGAGGGGGTCGCAGGCCCAGGGGCCCAGCACCCCCACCTGGAACACGGCGGAGAGGGCGCCCGGGGGCGGGAGGAGCAGGAGCAGCAGGAGCCCCGGCAGCCGCGGCCCGGGCCGGCGCGGGCTGGACGGCCACCGCCGCGCGGGGACGCAGACGCCGGCGTCGGGGGGCCCGCGCGCCGGCGGGGGCCGCGCGGCCATCGCCCCCTCCTGTGGACACAGCGAACAGGATGGGAGGGCTGAGACCCCGGCGCTCCCCCGGGGCGCCTGGCCTGCTCGTCCCCTTTGGCTTACCTCCCGTCAGCAGCCCCGGGGCCATGGGCACACCCCCCTCCCCAGCGGGGCCACGGGACCCGCGCTCCCCTAGCGGGTCAGTCGCCACTCACCGGGAGGTCCGGGGCTAGGCCCGGCTGCGGGGTCACCGGGTCGATGCCCCTTCCGTCTCCCCTGGCAGCCCGGCCCGGGCGGGGGTGTGGGAACAGCTCGCTGCGGCCCTTAATCTCCCCGAGCCGATTAGCGGCTGTTAATCAAGGACGGGGCGGGCCGATGGAGGATGAGGGTCCCTCCCGCTCCTCTCTGGGTGGGCTCTGCGCTACCTCCAGACAGCCTGAGCCCGGAGCTGAACGGAGGGAGGAAAAGCAACACTCAGGCCTGCACCTCAGCCCACGCACAAACCCAGCGTCACACTTACACTTGAAAAGCAAAACTACCTCCCTTTCAGTTGTCTCTGCAAAAAGCGAATCGGGTAAAGCCGTCCACCGGGAAATTTTGAAGAACTCTAGGATGTTGTCTTTCACGATTATAAGCTGACACCGGTCGGTTGCTTATACGTGGGAAGACAGCAAACATAACCGCTGCGGTTTTAATTGTTGTATATATGTATACACACATGTAACAACCATAACACATATCAGGTGTAAAGTCCCCAGCGCAAGGGAGGCGGGGCCAGGCGGGTCTCGGAGTGCCAGGAAAGCCAGCTGCACATACAGACCTGTCTCAAAAGGGACTGAGGTTTCATTTCTGCAGACATACGTGCGCCAGAGTGTATGCACGCACACATATGTGTGTGCCCACCCGCGTGTGCAGCGGCCAGCGGTGCTCAGAGCCCCAGAGTGGCGCACAGCTGGGAGCCCCCACGAGGTGCTGGGAGCCGGCCAGTGGGCTGGTCCCTCCGGGCGTGTCACCGCTGCAGTCCTCCGCACCCACTCTCTGGTGCCCCGTCAGCAGGCGCGGGACGCTTGCTCGCCCCTTCCTGGGCTTGGTTAAAGTGTGCTCTTCAACCCCTTGCACAGTCCCCCTCTCTCTCCTCTTCCCCTCTGCCTCTTCCTCCTTCCAGCTCATGCAGCCTTTAGGGAAAAACCTTAAACCGGCAGAGCTATAAGAACATCAGCAAGTCAGGCGCAGCGGGAGCCTGTGGTCTCAGCGCTCAGGACGCGGAGGCAAGAGGGTGGGTCTGTGTGTGTGATGATGTGTGGGCTTCCACACGCACATACATGCACAGGAGCACACTCACAGAGAACACACACACACAGAGCTGGCCACTGACAAAATTGGAATAGAGGTGGTCAATCTGATAAGTTATCATTGGAATTCACGAAGTTAATAACTGTACTACGTTACCCTGAGGAGTGCCCGCCAGGAGGCTCACACCTGTGACCCCGCACTGTAATCCCAGGAAGAGGCAGCAGACAGCTGTGAGGCCGGCCTGGCATATACAGTGAGTCCCTGGCCAGCCAAGCCAAGGAGTAAGACCCTGTCTCAAAAAACAGAACTAATAAACAAAAGCAAAGTCCCAAGTAACAGTATACATCAAAGTATTTCGAGACAAAGCGCCATGATGTATCACAATACATGATGTATGTGTCATGTAAGTATCTTGCTTATATTAGATATTTCACACAATAAGGAAATGGGAACAATGGCGAATCTGGGGCTAGGGAGATAGCTCAGTGGATAACTCATAGTGGATAACTATGAGTTTGGATTTCACATATAGGAACCGCCAGGTACAGCACCTTTAATCCAGGGCTGGGGCCAACAGCCAGGTTGTGGGGCTCCCTGTCCTGCCAGCCCAGCTGAGACAGTGAGCTCCAGGCTCAGTGAGAGAATGAAAGATGGCTTAAACCTCTGTCAGCCAAACCTGACCAACTGAATTTGATCCTGGGATCCATACGACAGGAGAGCATTGGCTTCAGCAAGGTACACACACACACACCACTGTGCTGTACGTACACTCACAATCAACAAATGTAATGAAAATAAGTATTAAGGGGCTGGAGAAATGGCTCAGAATGTGTCCTGCCTTCCAGAGGACCCAGGTTCGAGTCCCAGCTCCCATGAGGCAGCTCACAACTTTCTGTAGCTCCAGCTCCAGGGGATCCAGGACCCCGTCTGGCCTCCTCAGGCAGGTGCACAGACATACACGCAGGCAAAGCCTCCATACACATAAAGTAATGAAACAGGATTTAAAGCTAGCACAGAGAGGCAGCACATACACTGGAACACGAGCACGGAGAGGATTAGCAGCTTTGCAAGGGTGACGCACACACGAAGTTTCCAGAGCTTTGTCTCCTAGAGGTGTCAGGGATGCTACACCCATCGAGTCTCATCAACACGGCTGCCTAAACGGGATCTGAGCAATGACACCAACGGACATTGTAATGTGGAAGGGGAAAGCTTGAGGGCTCATCCCTACACAAGGGCTATGGCAACAGGGGTGTGTGTGTGTGTGTGTGTGTGTGTGTGTGTGTGTGTGAATTTGAGAGACAGCAAGAAGCAAGGAGGTTCATGAAAGAGGTTGGAGGGAGGAGAGGGAAGGGGGAAATGATGCAATTGTGTTATAATTAAAAAAACAAAACAAGGTAGAGAGAGACACGCTGCTGCCAATCTCCGGTCATGCATAGACCAGTGTGCCCAAGAACACACGTGCACAGACATACATTTGCCACACACACTCTGAAAACATGAGTGTGGTGGAGACCATGAGCAAGTTCTTTGTTATTTTTTTGTGATGTTTCATAAGTGTGAGGTTATTTCTGAATAAAAAGTTGATTAAAAAATGCTCAAAAAAAAAAAACTATCTTTGAAAGCTCAGGATAAAAAGGGATTTCTTAAACAATCCTGATAAAGTCCAAATTCCACAGGGAAAGATTAATGCATTTTGTAACTGTCTGGCTCTAAGAAGGAGCACACAGCAAGGAAAACATGAGCCGCTGACGAGAAAATCCATAAAAACACAAGCAAATTGCTAGGGTGCAGCTCAGGTGATAGAGGGCCTCGAAAGCACAGAGCCCTGGGGTCGGTCCCCAGCGCCACAGGACACAGGGCTGACAGCGCACACCTGTAATCCTAGCATGTGGGGGCTGGAGGCAGGAGGATTAGAAGTGTAAAGTCGTCCTCAACTACTTAGGGCCAGCCTGGGGTTCATGAGACTCTGCCACAGATAAATAAGAAAGAACTAGCAAACACACACACACGCATACACACAATGGAGCAAAAGTTGATATTTATAAATCTTATCTCCATTTACACTTATCCAAACCTGTCTAGTCTCTATCCAGACCCACATAAAAGATAAACATTCCATATTAAAACGGGCATGTGGGTAGACACAGCAGTGGAAAGGCTTACGAGAAAATACTCAACCTCGCTAGCCACCACGAAGACGAGAAAGAAAGCAGGACAGTGACAAACCATTCCCTCCCATCAGACTGTCGAAAATAAGACTGTGACAGCTCAGAGCTGATGAAACACAACCTTGGTGCTGTGGTAATATCACAGGAGCCTGTTGGACAGTGGCAGCTGCGGCAGGCCGGCTTTCAGGCCTCTGTGAATTCCATCACTTGAAGTATCTCATAGGTGTGTGACTGTGCACGAGAGTGGGACTCGTTTATGCCTCGGCACACGTGCGGTGGCCAGAGGACAACCTGCTGAGGTCAGTCTCACCTTCCACCTTGTGGGACCCAGGGGTCCAGCTCAGGTCACTGTGCTTGGGAGCACGGTCTTTGCCCGCTGACCCATCCCAGGGAGCCTGCCCTTTTTTTTCTTTTCATAAGAGGCTTATTTTCTTGGCATAGTGTTTACACAACCATCCCACATTGGAGCATGTGTCAGAGTACCATTTTTTAAAAATTGTCTTGGTGTTTTGTTTCTCAAGACAAGTTTCTCTGTGTTAACAGCCCTGGCCGTCCTGGAACTTGTGTGGTAGACCAGGCTGGCCTCGAACTCACAGGGACCTTCACGCCTCTGCCTCCAGAGTGCTGGAATTAAAGGCGTGCACCACTACACCTGACCCTTAAAATATCTTTATTAATTCTTTGATAACTTCATACATGCATAAAATATATTTTGATTCATATTCAATTATCAAACCTCCCACTAAATAGATCTTCCAGATTCATTCCCACTCCATCTTCCCTCCCAGCTTCTAATTTGTGCTCAAACACCTCTTATCTGTTCATTTGTCACCCACCCTGAGTCGCCTCTTCTTTGTTGCTGTAGAAGGCAAAGCCACTGTGAACTTGGCAAAGGATTCATCTTTAGGAGCTCATAACTAGAAGCAGATTTTTCTGGATCATACAGTGATTCTATTTTTAGCTGTGTGACGGGATGACGTGCTGGGTTATTGTTCTTATCTTCCGTTGCTGCGCTAAGTTCAAGGGATAGACTATTTGAAATCTCCCTGGCCTTCATGCCAAGGTGACAGGCCGGCTGTACGGCCACCACACTGAGCCAGCTCCCTGGATGCTCCTTCTCTGCGGTCGGCAGGTTCATATCCAGTCTTCGATGTGCAGAAACAAACCCGTCTCCTTGTAGGAAGGGTTGGGCTGAGGCTTAAAGCCAAGTTACCAGAGGGCAGAATCATAATTAAATCCAACAACTATAAATAGCCCAGCTGCCCCAGGAAGCACATAAGAAGGTCTGGGCTTCTCTCTATGGAAGGAAAAGGAAAACATCCTTCCTCCTGATTCTCTGCCCCTATCCTGGCTTCCTCAAAGTCACAGAGGAGTTCACAGCAGAAATTCAGTTCTATTTGTGGAACCGCTGCTGCAGCAGATAAGAAAAACTGAGTCTTTAAAAGAGGCAAAGCAATCTGCGTGTGTGTGTGTGTGTGTGTGTGTGTGTGTGTGTGTGTGTGCACACTCGAGTTGGAGATTAAGCCCAGGGCTTTCCCCGTAAACACTCTGGCACTGAGCTATAAC